CATCTCTCCCAAGCAACCCCACTGCCAGAACGGCTTACAGCTCTCTGCAGGAAGCAGCCTGTTGTGGCACAGAGGAGCAGTGCAGGCCTCCTCCTTCTGCAGCTCTCTTGCAGTTTTATAAAACCGAGCACAAGGAACACAGTGCTGTTTTGTACATACCTTGGACACAGCCTGCCTCGTCACTGTTGTCAGGACAGTCGTGCACTCTGTCACACTGCTTTGCTCCATGGATGCAGGTCCCATCCCCGCACTGAAATTCATCCGGTCTGCAGGTCACCAGAGCTTTAAAAGAACACACGTAAGCGTCATCCACACAGCACCTGAACTTTATGTGGTGCTTTTTGTCTGACACTGCAGGAGCTTCATGCCCTCCTTCAGAAGGATCAACTGCTTCTACCAAAGCAACAGGCAGCAGCTACCTCAGGCACCGCCCTGTGCTCCCCAACATTCTTGACCACCCTCTACCGTCCTTGTATTTTAAGATACATTTTGAAGCATGTTCAGCCTAAGGTCAGAGGCAAGATGCATGTATGCTGCATCTGCTACAGCCAGTGTGGTCACACCAGGGATGAAGTGAGAGGCAGACATGGTCATCTGGGTCAGTGAATGCCTGTGAGCTAACCACAGAGCCTGGAAGGCACAAGAGCTCCACTGCCCCATAGCTTGGTGCTTCTTGGGTTTACAGGCCAGAAACATCTCCATGGTGTCAGCTCAGATTTCAAGCCTGATGCTCATTTGCCCTGTTGCTGTTATTACAGACTGAACACAGATCTGATGAATAGCAAAGCTGGGGAAAAAATAGATCAGACTGCTGCTCTGATCATGCCAAAAACAGCCACGTTTCCCTCCTCAAGTTTACACTGAGACCTTCCCAGATGGGATCTGACTTGCACTGACAGAGCCAACAGGCACTGGCTAGCCAGCAAAGGGCTGCAGCCTGCAGCTCACTGGTAAAAATAGGCTTCTCGTTCCTGAGGCACTTTATGTGGCTTATTTCTAAGGGAACTATCTTCCAGATGTTTTGTTAAAATCCTGTTAAGGCAGCACACCCTGGAGAGCTCTTGATTCTAACCTTTCCATCTTGCTGATTGCAGCCTGGTACCATATGACAGAAAATCAGTGCCTCTGAATAGCTGGAGGAGGTCAGCACTGATGTTACTACATGGGAGGCAAGAGCCACGTGGCAGATTTTCCTTGACAATTTGACAAACTGGTTCTAATAAAGAAATTACTACTTTCAGATAACCCAAGAAGAGCCACAGATACAAAGTGGGTTAGTGTCAATATCATGAAGTATTAGTATGCCTGAAGGCTCAGCATTATTGATGAAAGCATCCCATGGGATGGAGGATCCAGATTCACAACTGCTGGACTAAGCCCTAGATGCCTGCAGCCATTGGAGGGTGTGAAAGACAGGAAGAGCTGCAACTGCAGTGCTGCTGTGGGAAGGGGGAAATCCTGCCTTAGAAAGGCACAGTATTCACAGGAGAAAGGTTAGGAAATAGCACTGCTCTGTGGAAGGGAAAGCCATGTGGACTACAGTCGGAAAGAGCTGCAAAGCAAGAATAAAATTGCATGCAATAAGAGCAGTTGTGGGACCAGCTGTGTCACAGTGTTTCTGCTAACAAACCCAGATACAGAAATGTAAAACCTCAGCACGATATCCAGCAGCTCCAAGCCAAGCACCTGGGAACTGCTTCTCTAATGAAGGAGAAGGGGAGGTGAAACTGCAGTCTAGGAGAACCACAGACCTCAGCTCTGGAGGTGGCAGTCAGGTGCTGCAATGAGGCTGAGGCACTTCTGTCTGAACCATTCATTTCCCTGGCAGAAACCCTGATGGTGGAGAGACGACTTTCCCTGTAATGCAATCCCAGCTTCTTCCAAGCTAAACCTCTGCTGCTGCAATCCTTTCCCTAATGCCTCGCCTCACATTTCCTAGCTACTGTTATTTCTGATCTTCACTTCCCAACATAGAGAAGTTCACCCTTTCTGTAGCAACTTCTGTTCTGTGGAGACAGGATGGGATGGTCCTCTGTTTCTGACAACAGGTATTAATTTTCTGCAAACTTGCTACATGCAACTAAAGCTACCAGAGCCTGGTCTGTCCTAGGGCAGAAGCAAGTTTCCAGTTTACGAAGAAATCTGCAAGGCAATGGCTGCAGATTGGAAAGACTCAGGTGGTAAAGGGACTGCAAAACACAGATGTGGGACTGTACAAAATCTGCACAAACCTCTTTCTTCATGAAAAGTCAGAGGACCGGAGACCAGGCTTAGTTTCCTGGCTTGTTTCTCATTCCAGCAGAGCTGTGGGAAGTTCAGACCTTTGAGAAATGGCCCTTGAGCCTCTTAATGAACATCCAAAAAGAGCAGATACAGCAACAGCTCTTCCTCATCACGAAGGTATCAAAATGAATATACAGCATTTCTATACTTTGGTGAATTTCTCAACAGGAGAAGGGAGACTGTGATGATTATACTCAGCTTGGAGAGCACACACATGAGGGGAGAGGGCCAGGAACCTTACTGTCCTGAAGCTGGGAGACAAACCCATCTCAGCACCATGAGCACAGCTGACAGTAGGCCACCACTGCCCAAAGCAGAGCAGTGTCCCAAGCACAGACATGAGCTGCACAGTTCATTTTCCACAAGTTGTTCCGAAAACCTCTGTGCTATTTTCTATTTTAGGGGGTTTAAATCAGTGACATTTCAGTTTTATAGTCACCTTTGCAGCTCTGCAAATTAAAATATGGAACAGTTTACCAAAGCTCTTTTAAATTAACTGGTACACTCAAGCGGACACACTTCATTTGCAAATATGGGGCACAAAGCTGTACTGCTCAAATTCAGGAGTTATATTCCAGATTCTAAGTCTGAGCCTCTGCTTCTTCTGTCTTTTGCTTCTTTACCCCCCAGAAAGTCAGCTGAAGCTCAAGAAAACTCCAGCATTTGCAAAACACATTAGTTCCATTTTACTGACAGGGAAACATAGTCAGGAAAGTGCGAGGTCAGAGATCTGTTTTCTAGCTGTCAGGTACTGGCATTATTTATCCTCCCTCCTGGGTTGCAGAGGATGTTTTAAAATCCAACCATTTGGAGAGTAATAAATCTAACCTAATGCCCATTTTACATACATGTGCAAATATACACACATATATTTACATATACATACTAGGGAAAAAGCAACCATCCAGTGTGCTCACACAGCTTCCCTGAAATGACTTCTTCCTTCCTATTTATTTGCTGGCTTCGCTGCCAAAACCTGTTCACCAGCTGTCACCCTTCATTCCTGCTCTACTCATTTATCACCTCAAAATAATTATAACAAATATCCAGTGATGGCCTCATGACTTTTTTTTTTAAAGCATTAACTCCCATTTCTGTGTTTTATACAATGCAAAAACCCTAAGAGGGAAGGCACAGTGCTGGCGTCCTCAGTTCTGACCAAGTCAAAGCCAGCAGTTTGTGCCGTTGCTGTTGTGAAGGGAATGGAGTTGTCACACAGCTGTAACTCCCTGCACGCCACGCAGTGCTGATCTCAAAAAAGAGGTTCTGGAAGTGAGAAAAAAAAAAATATAATAAAGGACAATCCTTAAACTCTTCAGTCCAACAAGGGAACAGAGATGCACTCAAATACCATTTTCTTACCACAGGTGTGTGCACCCAAGCTACAGCTTTGGTTAGGATAGGGAAGCAACATCACTTTTGCCTCTGACCCACTGGACTCATTTGCATTCAGTGCCATGGGTTCTCTGCTGGCTGCTGACCCAGAGATCCCCTGCCTGCAGTGTCAGCAGTGACAGGGCCATGCAGCTCAGTGGCACAAAATCCCAAACTTACACAGGTGCAAAGCAGACAAGCCTGTACAAAGGAGCATGTCAGGAACTAAAACGTGGGGCTCTGGAGTCCCACCATTTCTTGGCTTCCTAGACTGAGAGCAGCAGAAGCAGCACATGTGTGTTCCTCCTGGGTAGATAAGCTGTATAATGTGTGTGTACTGAGAGTTAGCAGTGCCCCCAGGCACTGAATCCTCTGGTCAGGGATATAATGGTCTCAAGATTTCTTCTCTCCTCAGCCACGTTTCCTCTTTTCTCCACTGGTTGTCAGCACTGTGCTGTGCTGCAGCCCTGTCTGGCTGTGTCCTCTGCCCCACAAAGGCTGCCCTGGGGAAAGTGGAGGTTTTACTTGGTGAAGCTGCTCTGTAACAGGGCTGCCATCACTGCTCTGCTGCTCCTCCTGGGTCCCCGGTCTCAGCAGAACCAGCTCAGCTGGGCACCTGCTGAAGTTTGTCGGGCCTTACTGCCTCCTCCTCTTGCTAAAGGAATCATCAAATTTGCATGTCTGCCCCAAACAGCATCTGACTGTTCCTCTCCTTGAAGGGCTCTCCCATGCAAGCTGCTCTAAGGTCACCAGCTGAGACTCAGTGCTGTGCTGGTTGTGGAAAGATGGTGCTGGAGAAGTTGGACATTTTCACACATGCCTTTGTAAAAATGTCTGCTTTCTGCAGCTGCTTGCTGCCTTCTTCCCAGAGGTGGTCCAATGTCAGAGCTGCTAAATATATGTAGCTGTATAAATATTTTATTTTATTCCTGTCTTGTGATTATGAATATTTTAGCAAAACATTTTGCTCTTGTTTTCTTGCCATCTCCCTCCTCAGATAAGTGACCAGCTTGAACAGGTTAGTGGCTAAAGTTGGATGAATCCTTCAAAATACTGTGCACACCAACAACACCATGTTAAATGCATCAAGCCAGCTGAAAAGAAATCCATTATGTATTAGCTCTCGTCTGTAACTGAGCCAATCTCAAAGTGCATTTCAAACTGGATTATTCAAAGGTGCTGCCTTGCTTGGTATACTCAAACTTCAGAGGTAGAAAATTAATTTTTTTTTTTTTCTGCTGATCACATATTCCCTTTAGCACTGAGGCTTCTAACCTGCAGGCTGTGACCCCACCGTGCAGCCTGAGGGCTTTAAAAATGTTTCCCGTTTTCTCCATTTCTAGTGAAACAGACTTTCTCTGAGGCACGGTCCCATTCAACAGCTCTTGCAGCCCCTCTGTGAATCCTGACAGAACAACAAAATAGGAGTCTGGAATACACCTAATGCTGCTGGGCTGAGCACCCGGCCATGCCTTGGGGCACAAATGCTCCTTGGCAGACAGGTGCTGCACAGACAACTTGCAACAAAACCCTGCCTGAAAACACAACCCAGAGGGGCTGCCCTCCCCACCAAAGGAGAATCCCCAGCCCTGCCCACACTCACGGCAGTCCTGCTCATCAGACTTGTCCTTGCAGTCTTCGTCCCCATCACACTTCCAGTTAAGGAGGATGCATTCGCCATTGCCACACTGGAACTCGTGAGCAGCACAGGTGTTGAAGGCCTTGGCATCGTAGCCACACCTCTCTACAGACTCATCTGAATGGTCCTCACAGTCTGCCTGGTTGTCACAGACCCACAGCTCTGGGATGCACACGCTGTTGTTGCACTGGAACTCATTGGGGCTGCAGGTCAGAGGGGAGCATTTCCTTTCATCGCTGCCATCACCACAGTTGTTGTAACCATCACACACGAAGTTGATGGAGATGCACGTCTTGTTACTGCACTGGAACTCATCAGGAGAACAAGCTTGGGAAAAAAAAACAAAACAGGTGAGCTGCGAGGTCCCCTATCTACCCCCTGCCACTACACTGGCTTTAGCACATCACATGTATCTGAGTAGGGACAGGGCATAAATGTATTACCTTGGCTGTCCTAACCCAACACTGCTTTCCCAGTGGTAAACTACATAGCAAGGAACAGGTGAAGACGCATGGGGCTTCTCCGCAGCTGTGATACGGAGCACATCCTGCCCCCAGGGTGTGCTGACCCAAGCTGGGAGCCCAGCTCAGGCTCTCCCATCACCCCTCTGGGCCACGGGCAGCCCTGCAGGAGAACGGGCAGCTGGTAAAATGGGGCACAAGTGCAGCACTGCCGTGTCCTTTTGTATAAGGAGACACAGGGAGGGCTGGAGGAGCAGTGGTGGGTGCTGAGGGCTCACACAGAGCTGAGCTTTGCTCCATGCTGACATTAGCAGCTTCCTGGCTTTCACAGGCACAGAATCAGGTTTGAGGATTTCACAGTGTGCCTGGTTTTGGACATATTAAGTGGGATGTGTAGGGTAAATATTTAGTGAGGCGAGCATCAATTTAGCTGCAATCTGCCAGCAAGGCCCTTTACAGCACACTGAAAGCCTTCCCTGGAAATCACAACTCAACATTAACACACAAATGAGACATTTGTCAGATCTGAAGCTGAGTGGTGTACTCTTGCTTGCAAGCCTGATGGACAGCTGCACCAGAGGAGCCTGCTAAAATTAAAATTTCAGGTACTCCAACAACGTGCACTTGGCAGCCACTTTGTCTCATCAAGTTATGGGGGAACCAAGACTCTGAAATAAATTTGCTCCAAGTGCTTTTAATCAAAGCTAATTTCGTCAGTTATTTAAAAAAAAATTGAATATATGTCTGCCTCTACCCTTCCGGGCACGTATAGGAAAGTTATGCATTTTATAAATTACAATAAATATATATAAATAAATTACAATAAATTAAATACTTCCTCTAATTGCAATTAGGAGCCTTTTTGCCTTCAGTAACTCCAAGCCCGATCTCCATCCAACAGGGATAAATGTTAAAGAGAATCTCAGCTGTGCTCTGCTGAGTGCCCAGCTTTCCATCAGTAACAACATACATTGCAGTGGTGTGTGGTCAGCAAAGGAGCATCCAAGTTCTGCCTGGTGCAGGCAGGACATCCTAGAGAGGTAGGAGTGTGGGTATTTTTGGGCACAGAGAGGGGCTAACCTGTCTCCAGGCAGTGAGGAACTGAGATCAGACATCTAGTATTAGGAGATGAATCCCTCTCACAAGGACCCAAAACACAATCAGCCTGATGGAGAAGCATCTAAAAAACCATTCCACGTGTCAGAAGTGAGACTAAAATGCTGCAGCCTACCCGTAATTTCAGCTGATTTTCTTCACTCAGCATACTTTTCTATCCTTATCCCATAACCAGAAATAAAATGAGCTGCTAATCCTACTGATCAGCACGTGGCTGTATGATTTCTTCAAGTGATGAATAAGATGGAGCTACCAAATGGAAAACTGAGGTAAGAGTTAAGATTTTAGTAACCTATTTGAAGAAGGAGGTGATGGATGGGAATATTTCTAAGTCTATGCACAGTTACTGTAACAGATCAAGGCTGGGAAGTAGAAACTGCTTTTCTGGCATTATTTTGATCAATCTCAGAAACACTGTAAGCAAAATTTTCCACAGTCCTTTGATCCCCAATTTTTGGGCAAGGTTATAAGGATTTGCACGCTCCAAATATGCATTAATTTCCCTTCTCACCATCCCTTTTCCTATGTTGCCTTCCTGCTCCCACCTCCAGCATTCCTTCTGCCTGCATGCATTTCCCTCTGGAAAGAGATGGATAAACCTCTGTGTGGGATTCACACAACGGAAGTCTGCACAAAAGCTCCTCCTCTGCACCTACAAATCCCACTACTGGTGTAAAACTACTGACAATCACAGCCAGAAAAAAAATAGAAGCAATTCACCTTTTGTAACTTCTCATGAGGAGACTTTTCAGTGAAGTTGGTGAATCTCTAGCTAGAATTAACTGCATTGCCATGCTTATTTTATTTCTTCTAAAAAATTAAATTTGGTGAGCTGACAGCACTAGAGATATTTCTGTCTCCAAGGATGAAGCACAGCCCATTGCTGCTGCTGCCTTCCCCCTTTCCAACCTTGTAGGGCTCCACTTCCATGTCTCACTGTGGGGGAGCTCTGTGTCTTCCCAAAGCACTACAGAAGGCTGTTCCAGGCACCTCCTGGTTAACTCAAGAAATACAAATGCCTTCTTCTCTTATAGACCTAATGGTCTTCAAGCCAATTGTCCCACAAGTGCCTGGAGCAGAGACCTCTGTCCCAGCTGGCTCTCCTATGAGCCACAGGAAGGCAGATTCTGTCCCAGTTCCACTCACCCTTTTGCTACCTTATCTGACAGCTAAAATCCACAGGGCATGCAAGGATAAAGCAAAGTCTGCACCTTCCAGGCACTTGGGGACTTGCTCAAATGGGCAGCAGAAGAGGAAAGCTGCTTACAATCCCTGCACACCGATGCAAGAGCCAACGTGTTCCTTGGGACCTCCTCTGCACCGTCTGAAGAACCTAATAAAAAGCAGTGCTAAAATTACCTTACATAGGCAGCTGGAGAGATGAGGATGGGGGAAGTAAAGTCCCAGGGACAGCTTGCTTCACATCTCCTTTCATAAATCTGTCAAGGTACCGGGGCAGTCCCAACACTACAGCATTTCACTGCCTCCAGAGCATTTTGATAGAAATGTCTTGAATAATAATTAAATGAGCACCAGGGTATCTTTTCTTTGACGTGAGCAATTTGCTTATATTCTCTGGTTCTTCTACCTGTTCTATTAAGAGTATGTCTGTATGAAACAGAGGATACAAATATTAGCCTTCCTCACTGCCAAAGAAATTAATAAATGTCATACCCTCAGATGCAAAGTCTCCTTCAAGTATGAAGTGATCCCAGTAGAAATACTAGAAACGTTTGGCAAGAAGAAGAGTTTTAACTCACTGGCTTCAAAGCAGTAAATAAGCATAATTACAAAAGCCATTTTGTAGGGTACAACAATCCATTAAGATTCTTCAGGTGATTTAGGAAGAAAACATCACATCTCAATGAATGCACACTTGCTTTGGCTTATAGAGAACGTATAGCAGAGGTACTCTGCATTAGTTGCTGCCCTGTGCTATAGTGCAACTGGCACAGCTTTTGCTGGGCAGCCCCCAGCTGCAGCCCTGTCACATCTCCTGGAGGGTGGAGCAGCAGCAGCCTTTGGTTGGAGGAAGAGGCTGTGGTTGTGCAGTTGTGTTTTGGTTCTGTTTCTCTGCCCTGAGCCAGCATTTAAGCAGAGGCTTTAATGAGCGCTCCAGTACAGCAGCAACAATCCTAGCTCACCAAAAAACGGAGATAACTCTACCAGAAGCTTTTAAAGTGCTTATAAAGAAAAGCAAAATGCTGTAAAGACACAGGGCACACTTTAAGAACTGTAATTTCAAATAAATCTCTGTAATTCTACAAAGCGGATCCTCAAATCTGGATAAAACTCCATGTGTGACATAAGCAGGATATCCATCATTAGTAGGAGCTGGGAATGGTGTACAATGGACTGCAACTGCTTCCGCTGCTAGCTTAAATTAAGGATTTGAAGCTTTTCAGTAAGAATCTGATATTTTAATACACTTTTTTTGTCAAAAAAAAAAAAAAGCAACTTAGCTCCTCTTGAAATTATACACATGACTTGGAGAAATAGAACTATTTGGTAAAGTTTGTGGCAAAGTGGATGACAGCAATTACTGACACCAAAGAGAAGAAAATAAGACAGATGATGGCACTGCAGCTTTCCCACACCCTTCCTGAGGCAACCAAAAAGAAACACAGTTCTTGTTTGCTTAAATCCAACAGCGGATTTTCTCAGGAAGGCAAGGGGTGATTTGCACACACTAACATTCGCAGTGGGGAAAGAGAGATCTGCTGCTGATTTATCACAACTTGAACACTGGCCAGAGAAGCTGTGGACTCGGAAAGCCTTAAGCTGTGAGGTTTAGAAGTGAGCTCCATCCACACGGCTGCGGCAGCGCAGTGCCTGAGCTCCATGTGCCCAGGTACTGTGCATAAAGACCTAATCCTGCCGCCACAGCCCACATACATTAATCTCCAAGCAGGACTGAGATAAGGAGGTCACGGAGCCCAGACTGAATTAAGTTGGAACTCCCAGCCCAGCTACCAACGCTGTCAGTGCATTAGTTTGACTGAACTAGGATTTATTTCCAAGCTTCCGTGTACCTATATTGCTTGCTTTGTCTGCTGAAATCGGTGCGGTTACCAAGCACCTGAATATCTGACACAGATCTCAGGTCAAATGTCAGCCTTTAAAGCACGGGTTCATCCCTGGAAGGCCAAGTTTCCCATGGAAAGCCGCCCTCCAGGAAGGGCAGGGACAGACAGAGGTAAATGAAGACGACCTTGAAGCGCATTGCTGGAAGAGCTGACAGGCCTCCCATGGAGGGAATAATGCGGCTGAATTGCAGTCTCACTGCTAACGGTGGTTGTTGCTATGGTGATTGATACCGAAAAGCCCATATAGATGAAGGCTGCAGAAGGAATAAGTAATTCCTGATATTGTTCAAATCACTAATGGAGCTAAGGAGCCATTTCACGCACTCCTGCAAATTAAGATTTGCATGCACTCGCTGCCTTCGCCACGCTGCTCCCCTCAAACACCAAGGAGTTATTTTCCCCTTCACCATGATGGTATTTGCGTAGTATTGCTTCATTACAAGGGAGCAACCAGATGCCAAAGCTCCTGCTGACACATAACCAGTGGTTCAGAAATGTATTTACTGTTACAGAATATATATTTCTGGACAATCGTATCTTCATTCAAAGTGCTTTTCTGAAAGTAGAATTAATTATGAGTTCATAATTTATGAATAGAAGCAGCTTATGTAAAAAAGATTTGCATGCTCTGAACTTTCCCCATTTATAATGTCATTTGGGTGCAACGAGGCTGCAGAACTCATTCCTTCAGACTCCTCAATTTCACTCCCTACTGGAAAAGCGTGAGGAAGTTTATCACAGGTTTTTCTGGTTAAATGACATCACAGTAAGAAGCGACATCACCAGTAAGAGTCTGGTGTAGAGGATTTAGGGGCAAAATAAAGCGGCTTAGGGAAAAAAGGGATGGTCAGAATACCAAAGGTATTGAGCAAAGGTAACCTTTGCTCAAATCACAGCCACCCCACAGGGATCTTGTGAGGATAAAGACCTATCATTACTCCTTTATATTCTGATTGAGATGCAATCAGCTGAATCTGAACGGAGATGTTTTGTACTTGCCAAATTTAAATGGAAAAAAATAAATGCTGCCATGTGTTTAGTGGTGGTTGTTTTTTTTTTCTGACTGAAAATTGGAAACCTGTATGGGACATCAGCACTGCTATTCCACAGACATAACTTACCAAAGCAGCAATTTTACAAATTACACCAATCAGGCAAATCCCTGTGAAGCACCCAGTGACATCCGGGAATCTGGCAGCCGCTCTGACAGCATCAGCTGCCTGTTTCTGAGGAAGGTGTAAGAGCAGCGCTTCCAGTAACCAGCACAGAGCATCACTTACCACAGCCTCAAGCCTGTGCCAACACAAACCAAACGCACATTACTCCATATACAGACCTCCTGGATTCAGCAGGACCCTGTGGGCTGTGGGATGGCTGCCCATGCAGAGCTTTCTGTGCACTCAGGAGCTAATTTTGCCATTGCTGGGTTCAGATCACAGATACTTTCCCAGGATTAGTCTGCTCCCATAGATTTCACCTTCTGTCCACAGGGCAGACTTTCACTCTGTGCTCACCTGCTAACTCAGAAATGTGGGCTATCTTCTCAGCCTGATTTTACCACATGCAGGCCTATCTGTCAAAACCAGACCCAAATTGCCTCCCTCTGGGTATGTTCCTGAGCCACTGGGCTGAGCAGGTAGGGCACAAAGCCTGCCTTCAGCTTGGGAATCCCTTTGGCTGCAGCAACTGAGAGCTCATGGGATTTAACTCGAATGAGTAAAGCAGAGCAAAGCAGTGCTCCCATTGCAAGCAATGAGGTCAGTGCCCTGTTAAATCTCCACTTCCACTAATTTAGTTTGCTTGATGGGAATTTTCTGTAAAAAGAGATATTTCTTCTTACTGAAGTCTGCTTCACTGTTAAACTCAAATTTTCACTGCATTTAGTACACAGCACCATTAACTCTTTTGGAGGACACACGAGGCAAGGAGTTATCACAAACCCTTCTGTAACATCTCACCCAGCTTACCCAGCTGTCTCTCACAATTCTCCAGGACCAGGGATCCAACACAATGGCAATCATAAAGATCCTTTTGAAATAAAAGAGTTTGCAAGGCACTGATAGGAAGGGATGAATACTTTAAGGAAGAAGCACAGAGGATACAGCAAGACAAACAGCAGGATGAATATCTGCATGGACTGCAGACACCAGGCATATGAAGACCACAAGGTAGATTTGGGAGGGAGAGAGACTGACAGCTTCTTTAGGAAACAGCCAACTCCAAATTATCCTTACTTACGTGACGTTAGGGGCACAGTTATGATATAAGGTAAGCAATGTACCCCAAATAATGCGCCCATGATTCTACCAAAAATAAATAAATAAATAAATAAATAGGCAATCATATTTGGAAAAAAATGCCATAGATTTTCCACTCAAATGGAATATTAAAGCACTGAATGACACTCACTGCAATTAAAAGTGTAAGGGTCATCTGGTATCTGCACTCAATTTAATAGTACTGAGGCTTCTAGGACATCAGGTTTCGCCCTTCCACTTCTCCTGCTTTGAACTGGAGGGCAGCACTTGGCTGAATTTGGGCTGAGAAGACAAAGCAATTGTACAGCATGAACATTTATTTTTAAGTTTCTGGAAAAAAAGGAGTGTAGATATGTATACTTCATTGAGAGCTAAACCTTCCCAAGTCATATTTTATCAAAGAAACAAATTTATTTGCAAATTATAGGTAAAATTAATCCAACTACTTTATCTTCCTATTTGAATACAGCATTTCAGCCACAAAGATAATTTTTAGATGCTGTTTCATCTGTTAACATGACTCACAAAACAGCTTCCTCCCCATCAAACACTACACGACCCTCTCCTGCGTAGGACTGCACTGAGTTCAAGCTAGCTCATTCTGATTCATATGATTAAAATCATATGCTCAGGAAGAGCAACTGTTAAGCTCTGTTTAATTAGTGTAATGCATATGTACCCACGTCCACTGAAGGATGGAACTTCTACCCACGGATCTGCCACCATAACACGATCGTTGGAAATCTCCTTTAATTGTCGGTGCCATTAACATATCTAAACAGATTCTGTCCTTTCAGATGGATAAACTCAGAATTACTGCTCTGTTCTTATGAAAAAAGCACTTCAGGGACGTGAAATACAAGTGTATTCGCAATAAAATGCAATTTCTTGGCTATTTCAGCTCCAAGAGCTCTAAACGTTGACAGACTGCCTAGAAGACAAACATCAAGTCAAACTCTGCTCCTTTGATAGCGTGACACACAAGATGGGAAAGCAGCTTTTTTGTGTATGCATGCGTAGCATGCAGTCCAGAAACACTATGCTTTGGTTTCAGTAAAGCAAAAAGGTTTAAATTAAAACAGTTATTTCATGCCACTCTTCCACAACCCTGTACAAAATTATCATTTAGGGTCTGCAGGAATGGGTGTGTGAGAGCACTTGCAGCGCGTTCTCTTCGCATCCACTCTTTCTTCCTGGTGCACCCTGCCAGTAAAACATTGTAGGAGTACCACATTTGGAACTGCCTTCTTTTTAGGCTGTGCTCCATTCCTGCGTGTACTGAAGGATCAGTTACTCAGCATACTGGTACAGACAGTTCAGCTGAAGCCGAGGGATCAGCACTGTGCAGATGTGCACAGGCAGCCTGCAAAGCTGCACCACAGCACCTGCTGAGGTGAGAAGGCACCGCTCCACAGTAGGGAACCCTTCTGCAGAACGGGTCTGTAATTCCTTGTACCTGAACTTCACAGAGAGCACTGGGGAAAGGAAACCCTTCTGCAGACAGAGCCTTGGCAGAGCTCAGGCCGTGGCTTTCGGGTTTAACTCCCAACATCTGCAGTGACTGCCTTCCCCCTGACCTCAAGCTGATGCAGTATTTTCCATTTAATTACAGCAAGCACCCAATGCATTAACAATGAGAGTACCTTCATGTTTCTGTAGGAATGCAATTAAAGGTAACTGCCAAGCTCGTTTTTCTTGCTATTTTGTTTTGAAGGAACTAAGGATAAATATGATTATGGGATGAGATTTTTCCTATGTAGCAACGGGGATTTTTCTCCAATTACTACTGCTTTTGAAGGAGCTCTAATACTTTAAGCAGTGATAAAGTGGCAGCTGTACATGTTTAATTTCTCAGAGCCAGGGCATAATGCATAAGCATTAATCCCCTCCAGCTGTCCAGTAATTAAACATCATGTAAAGCCCAGAAGATATCATTGCTGTGCTACCTTATCTTATTTATGATGGACTTTCATTTATTAAATCTATAATAATTTCCTTCCTATTCTCAGAAATGATTGCTGAATTCCTCCACCAGGTCAAACGTACTCAAGCTGCATCTACCTGCTATACAAATGACAGTAATTTTAGGCCAGCCGTATTTCTTTTCACCACCTGCTGAAATAAACATAAATATTAGACAAATATTCTTTCAATAAGCACAAATGCAATTGGATGAACTTTCACACCATTAAGATTCAGTTTCTCAGGGAGATTGCGTGGCAAAACCCGATCCTCTGCGTTTGATTTCCCTCTGAACTCAGTGAGGAACGTGACATTACTCTGCACCTAGCCTGTTAATGAAGACAACAAACACAATTCCTAATTTTGAGGAAAGCGTGTATTAATCAGGCTGCAAAGGAAGACCAAGGCAGTGCTGTATCACTGCCAAAGGAAAAGGCTCTCAGCAGGATCTGCAGAGAGCTGGCATGAGCAGAACTGGTACGGCCAAATGCCCATAGATGGCACTGGAAGAGACTCTTAGATGCAAAACACAGGCACCTTTACTGCATCCAGGAGAAAATGACAAGATGACACAATGATCCTCATCCCTACATGATGGAACGATTTCACTGTCAACAAAAAGGTGAGATTTTCCAATTCATGTGAATGTAGGGGCAGGAACAATGCAGAGGAAGATGGCTTTAAATCAACTTCGTTATTTCCTCCCTCCAACTGGCTCATCACCAGGTGGATTTGCTAGAGGGATCAGACCAGCTTGGTTCTGCTTTCTGCCAATGGCTCTCAAGTGATGTCAGGGCTGCTGAGCAGCCTTGGAAAGAGCTGACTGATTTTTTCCGCAGTCAGATGCTCCAAGGAAAGGACCACTCACTGCTTTGTACTGAGAGTCACACATGTGCCTGCAAGCTTTGCCTGAGGATCTTAGAAATTATGGACACCATGGGAACCTGGAGCTGTGAGCAAGGACACGGGGCTTACAGCAGGCAGGACTGTGCTTACTGTTGCTTCCCCCATTAATTTAAAAAGTATTACCTAGTCTGCTCAGTTTTTATTGAGCACATCGTCCCTTGGGACTGAAAATCCAGAACTAATTCTGAGATATATAGTAGACAACTAAAAGCTGAAAGATCAGAGTTCAACAGTCTCTCTATGGACTATCAGACAAGTGAAAAAAAAATATCAGTCTTCCACTGAGCAGGAAATCTGGAGTATTAAAAAGTTGATAGGAATGGGGACTAGCATAAGAAAGTTAAGAGAGAACTCAGTCTCTGCTACTGCCACTGAACGCAGCTCTGCTCCTTTTCCTTACTCATTTGAAAGAGCAGCATATGCCAATACTGCATTGGGAAGACATGCACACACATACAAAGATTCCTAACTTACTTAAAGCTTAGTAAATTAAAGGTGTGTTTACATAAAGCTGTAAAGAGCTGGGATCAGCATCCTGTGGGAACCAGCAAGCTCATCTCACAAAGGTGCACAGCAAAAGCAGGTGAGAGATACAAGTACACAACTATTAGATGCACAGATGTGGGACCTGTGAGCCACTGAAACATGCTCAGGTTCAAAAGAACATCATCCAAGGGCAAACAACTCAGTACCCTACAAACAGAATTTACAGATTTCACAAAATGCCGTGCATGTCTGCAGATACGCTCTTTTGGGAACATGCAGCTTTGTGTCTGAGAAGAGTAAAGATAAAACACACAGAAAGGAGAAAAAGGCAAAAAATGCAAAAGAACATATTTAAGATTCTTCTGTCTCGTGTAACACAAATACAGCTCCCTTCTCTTACAGCAGAAGAT